TATACATTCGGACGGATGCATGTCTTCTCCTGATGGAATAAAGAGGGAGATATGCGTGTATTGTGTTTGGAAAAAATCGACAGCAGTGAGATTTGAACTCACCACCCTCGGACTCGATGGAAAAAAGAAAACATCTACAACGATGATTATTATCCCGAAAATCCAAAAATTGGATTATCGTACGAAACGCTTACAGTGTAAATTCCCAAAAATTAACAACGTTGTTAATTAAAAAGGTAAATAATCGCTTGGGCCGCACAATATCATAAAAAGTTGAACGCTCACCGCTGATGATGACTGCTAATAATTTTTCGAACTTCGACTGCAGCGAAAATCGGTTCTTTTGGAGCCTAGAAATTCGTTTCTGTATTGTTGCACGATTGATGAGAGCCGCAGCATGAGCGAGCGAATATAGGTAGAAAAAGATCATATTTAAACCAATTTAATCTACAATTGAGCAGAACAATTGATTTCGAGCACCTTCTTCACACAAAGAACACACTTGCACGTGAAGTGAAACAGTTCTTTTCAACCTCAGAGACTGTCTATCATCAATAGAGAACGCTTGACAGTCGTTCATCTGAGTCATTGTGATGGACGTCACATCCATGGCAACCGAAGAAGAGCCACAGAAGACAGAGGTGACATTCTTCATACGAATGACTCATAACGCCCCAAGCAGCGCCGACCTCTCACTGCTAAAGAGTGGAAAGCTCATCGTCAGCACACATCCAACACGACGAGAAGAAAAGATCTCGACGAGAGGCACGGAAGGGGCCGAGTGAAGGCTGCCCCTGGAATGTTCGCGCGCCCTACGGTTGGAGTGGCTGAGGCAGAGAAGGATAATCTGTGGGAACTCGAACAATCCAAGAAAAGGATAGCCCGTCTTGAGAGTGGTGGACGTGTATGCCGTCAATTCATAGCCCACCGTAAGAAAGTTGGTAGACCAGTCCAAGATGAGAACCACTTGAGCCTGGAGGTGAATCGTCGCTGACGTTACATTTTATTTACGAAGAAATCCAGGACGCGAAGCGGCTAGCCGTCCATCTGTGTTTGGTCAGGAAGATCAAACCCAAGACCGCCGAGATATTAGTTCGCGATGCCCTTCGTTACCAAAGTCAAGTTCTCGTGAGTCTTTCCAATGAAAATCATCTCTGATGATACACAGGGTCAGACTACCATCGCCTCTGACCCAGAGAAGATGAAATAATTGACCGCCACATTCTGGAGTATGTCTTATTACCACGTTAGATCTACCACCAAACAAGCCAATCCCATCTTGAAGAAAGATGTGGATCATGCCATACGACAGTGCCTCATCTTGAATTATATTACAGAAGCAGCGGCTGTAGCCACTCTTTGGGCCACCGCCGGAAGATATGATTCCATGCAATGGGTCGCAGGAGAGGACATCCAATTCCTCATGGAGGAAATCAACGGCAAGCTCGTGTTCGATGGATTTGCTCTTACATACAACAAGATGAAGGTACGGAACGAACCGATCAATCGTCGAACTGAGACTCGTAACAGCAAGGAGCGACTGAAGGACTCACGTATTACCTACAAGATAGAGATCTGGACAACGAGATCGGCTTTGCTAGACGTCTCTTAGAGTTGCTGATCAAAAGGCGGTGGCTGGTATTCGTCAGCGAAAGCTCCCCCAGCAAAGTCGACATCGATATCACGGAGAATACCGAGACACTGACATCGCCACCGCCGTGAGTCTGATGATGTGCTTCCTATCATTTATTGAACTCCGAACCAGAGCATCGTCTGTTATGGAAGACACATCATCAGTGACAGCCGACTCAAATTCCAGAAAACAGAAACAGAGAGTTATAATCACACCGCAATCTTTCTCCACGTGTGTCACCTCCTACGTAAATTTCTGATGTTAAATAGCGAGGAGGAAAGAGACCAAAGAAAGCGTAGTGCATCGGAGGAACTTCCCGAGCCCGCTCAAGAGTGTCTGAAGATCGTCAGGACCGTAGAAAGCTTTGAAGAATTCCAGCAGGGAATCGCTCATAAGCTCGTACCAGAGATCGCGGAATTCGCACATAAGCATTGGCTTTTCACGTGGGACGACGGTGCATTTTCTGGAAACCTCCTCTCGACTTTCTCAGCCGCCAAGGGCACACCTAGCTCGACTAAGAGATCGGCGAACCTGATGTATCAACACTACCAGGGAAAGAGATGGACACTCAAGCAGATGAACAATTTCCTCAACCATCTCTTCTTCGTCCTTGGATTCCAGGAACGCGTATTAACCACTCGATCTTTTCGGCGCGGAAAGATCACGGTGATAGCCATCCAACGCTTTTTCTGTAACGGGGGAGGATGGAAGGAAGGAGACGTGGAGTATATCTCGGATGCGATGGGATGGCGTGACAAGGGTGAGTCATCACTTCATCATGCATCACGCTGTTACATCTTTTCATCATCATCATCATGATCTCTCAACATGACCACCACGTCTTCCTGACGTCTCACCACAGAACACATCAAGCGTTACATGGACAATGTCGTCCGTAAATTGCGATCGTTCACCGATCTCGACTCAGGCATCTCTGAGGTAGACATGCTGGGAAGAATGAAGGAGCGCTTCCTCTCCATTACCAACGATCACCTCTTGCGGAATTACAAAAAGGCGAGTCTCTCCCTTCATCACTCTTCTCACTCTGAAACAGAACACCTCCTTGAATACGATGGATTTCATCTTCCAATCCATCATATCCGCCTTCGAGGAAGAGGGGCAAGCTGCCGAACCACCTGAGACAGAAGTGAGGGTACGTAAATATGGAGATACAAATGATCTGCTCAGGAGGAGACCGTCGAGATGAAAGAAATCAAGAGAATGTTCGTGGAGCAGGAACAATTGATGAAGAAATACGGAGAAGAGTACGACGAAGAGATCGCTATAGGCAAGCAACAGAGCAGTCTGTACCAATCCATCCTCTTAACTGTCGAGACTGGACGTGAGCCCAACCTGATCGAATACTCCCCCAACGAAGTGGAAGCCTTCATTGCCGAACTCAACTCTAAATTCCGTGCGAAGAAGTTGGAGCCAATCATGACACGAGTGAGCAAAGGGCCGGCGAGTCATGGCTGATTCGCACAGATGTTGGCCAAATGGTCCGTAGAGAGGAAGATCCACCAGCACAGTAAGAAGAGAAGCTCTGTCACCACTCAGAAGGAATGGGACGAGAAGACGAGCGAGATGGTACACAACTGTTACGCGATGAAGACCGTCAACGACATCCACCCGGATTCCCGCAAATTCTTCTCCGTTGCCATGGATCCACAATTTAGAGGTGAATCGTCCTTCGCGATGCCTGCTGAACGAATGATTCAGATGTGATGGCCAAGCACCTCTCAACGGCTATCCCCGAGGAGAGAAGGAACGATTACAGGTACGTCAACAGCCAGATCATCTCCTTCCTCTTTGGAAAGTACCACAAGATTGCCAAGAACATCTCCTTCGTGGGAATGTGGCGCAAGATCTTTCGAAACACCGGAATCAGCATGGTGGTGGTGCGTCACTCACGATACGTCGTCTTCATTCACGACTGACGTGGCACAGAAGGGCTTCTGCGTGCAATACGCACAGCATCACTTCAAGAGCGAGTTCAACCCCAACTTCCAAGTCGGCGATGTCGTCCCCAGGAATCCCCACAAGAACAAGCGCACGACCGATGACGCCTACACATCTCTGCACAGAGAAGCGCAGGAGAAGATGTACGACCTATTCAAGGGTCCCATCCCTCGTCTGACGGCATCCGGTGAGAAGATGGAGAAGTTCAGAGCCATACACACCGAGTTGGAGATACCAATCACCGAGATCGAGAAGTCGAGAACCACGTACAAGTCCGTGCTCCAGGTACGACCCTCGATCTTCTCCGTCTGAATCTTCCAGCGATCCGAGAAGAAGAAGATCTCCTTCAAAGAGGCCCTCGCAGAGCTCTTCGACTATCACAACAGCCGCCGCGGCAGCGCTGCCGCTATTGCCACCCTCGATGCATTCTTCCCCGCCGACAAACCACCCACTCCGTCCGAATTCAAAGAGGCCCTCAAGAGTCTCACCGCCGTGGAAAGGAAGTACATTGTGAAGAGGAAGACAAACTTCAAGGGTTACCTCAAGAGGTGGAAGTTGAGGTACAATCCTTCACCCTCTGTTCAAAAGAATCTTCTGAACTTCTTCAAAAAATCCAACGAGGAGGAGGCCTCAGCCAAGGTGCTCGACACAGACGAGGTCCTGCCCGAGACGCTCGACACAGATGATGTCCCACCCCAGGAACTCAACGCCGATGAGACCCCAGCCAAGTCAATTCAGGTGTATACGATCCGTCATCGCGAGAAGCTGAATGGATCATCACAGCTCGCCGTCATGACCGAAGAAGACATGCAGTTATTCAACACTGCACCCACGGAGTCCCTCTTTACCTGCAACCGTGCCGACTACTTTGGTGAGGATCCCAAGGAGGCCGCAGACGACACCATCAGCAACGAGAAGATCATCCAAATCCTTCGTGATACAGATACCTTCGTTCGCGACGCCAAAAACGGAGCGGATATGTACAGGACCGTGGCAGAGTATCACGCACAGCTGAGGACCGCTCCCGAGGGCATCATGCGGGACATGTACAAGAGCTTGCTGGCTGAGAGTCAATGCAAAGCCAAGGCTTTGTGGCAGAAGATCGAAGCCGCTGCGCACCAGTTTACGTAGGTTCACACTCGTGCGGGAATCGAATACAGTTGAATCGTGAATTTGGTGTTGATATTATGGTGGTTGTGATGTTCGCATCATCACTTCATCTCAAATACCAGATCGCAGAGTTTACGAGATCTACGCCGGTCGTGGTCCAGAGGATGATATATAGACGGGTTTCGGCAGCGACTGATGATCTGGCAGGAAAAAGATTTGGTAGGTACGGAAAAAAACAAGCTGTGACCCGATACATCAATCAAATTTTGCACAAAATGGGGGAAAATGACGAACACAGGACAGCATGGCCGAGTGGTTAAGGCGGTAGACTCGAATCGACGTGTTATCTACTCCCTTCGGGGTCCAGAGTTCAAATCTCTGTGCTGTCGTCCTTTTGTCACTCGTGATCAGCATCTGATGAGAGATTTCACTGCCAATATGCGTCTTGGAGGGTCGGTTTCACGCTGATCATTTTTTTTGTAATTTATGCTCTTCGAGTTTTGGTGCGATAATGCAGTTTATGTTCATTTAAATCGATTGTAGATGATGATCCCGATGGCCCCTAATTTCGTTTTTCTCCATGACCCCGAGTTCAAATCTCTGTGCTGTCGATCTTTTTTTAATCACGTAAAGCAGCATCCCCAAATCGTTTGGAGATGCCTCATGGTTTCCTACCACCATATCATCTTTGCATCCGAAGATAGTAGATGACTTATTTTTGAGTTCGAGTCTACCGCCTTAACCACTCGGCCATGCTGTCTTGATGTTTGGCTTGCTGCATTTACTTGGATTATTCTATATGTCTATATTCTTCTACAATCAGGGCAATCCACTGCACTGGTGCAGCAGGTTGGTGTACATATTGTTGCGCTGCATACTCTCAGGAATGATCAGCAGATTGGTGTGGGTGTCAAGTAGGTTGTACAATTTCTGTAGATGTTCAAGAGGATCTTTCTTTTTGATGAACATTGGATCTGCAGTTGATGAACAGGAGCGTGTTCACTTGTTACATTATGTAGACGCAGGATATCTGCCTGACTACAACAAACATTCAGAGGTCAATAATTCACTTGAACCTTGTCATAATAAAAACATTCAGGGCCTCTTTGCTCAAGAAGAAGTCAGGAACTTTACCTAGTCTATTTCTATCATGGAATTTGCCTATAATGTGAGTCAATCCCTTACAATATCCATCTTAATGCAACAATTCAGGGATTTGGACAAATATCCATTTGTCTACTTTTTGAGCAAGCAGGTGTAATTGCAGCTAGAAGAACTTTTTGGAAAAAGCAAGTTGTAAATAATAAATCTAACTTGCAAATTGCATCAGTTATCTTGATAAAATCAGCCCAATAATAAGGTATCTATCTCATGTGCCAACATTGGCATACAGTTGTAGATTTTAACTCGAAAATTGAATTGTTCACGGACAAGAATATTTGTCCATCTTCCCAAATTGTTGCATCTTATTGATCACTCTCACTGGAGAATCAACGGTCTGCCTTTGTCAGAGAACCATTTCTGAACTGCCAGATCACTTTGGTTGTTAACAACATCTATTGAGAAGTTGCACTGCCAATATGTGTCTTGGAGGGTTGTCTCTATGCTGATATCTTTTTGTAATTTATGCTGTGAGTGTTTAGTCCAATAATACAGTTTATGTCCATTTAAATTGATTGTAAATGAGGATCCCAACAAAAGTCAAGTTGGATCCGTGACCATGAGTTCAAATCTCTGTATAGGACCATTGAGAAAAAACAAGAATGCATAGGAATCAGCAGATGCCAAAGTGGTAGTAATTAAAGAAGTTTTACGACCTTGTTGATTTGTTACGCAGAAATGGTGAAGCAAAATGCAATTTAGAAGCATATGACAAAGTATGTATGTTATGTCCAGAAATGTTTGTCTCTCAGCCAGGTGTTGGGCACTGCTAATTCAATCTTGTGTCAGAATTGACTTACTCTCAATTCAGTTGTTGAAATCAACTGTAATCTACATCTTTGAACTTTGTTAGTACATTATATGACAAAAAATGACATAAATTATCGATGAAGCATGCAAAAAATACAGAAAAATATGCCAAAATTGAGCTGTTTGCGCACGCGCGGTGAGTAATAATTTGGGATTTCTGTGATTTTTTTTCGATTTTTTTCTTGATTTCACGTAAATTTTTCTTACTTGTTGAAGTTTATCAGGACCGCACATGCACGGTCTGTTGTATTTGTCAATTGGCTCTGATGTATCAGCAAAGATCTTTCGATTTCGTTCAATCACCTGATTAATCAAAGTTGACCATCTGATTTTGCAAAACAACATAACTTGTATCAATTTTGATAGAGTTTGGCATTGTGAAATGAAAGATTGCTAGAAGATCAAAAGGAGACAGCAAGTAGTTGCAAAAAAAGGTTCTTGTTTTTTTGAGCTATTAGGTTTGTATATTCTTGTTTTTTCTCAATGGTCTGATAGAGATAAGGAGTTCTTAGCTGGGATGACTTTGCCAGATTCCAAGTTAAACACATTCCAATACACCGCCAAATTGGCTGCATCTGCAAAATGGATTTTGGCTTGCGGGATATGTTTTCTTCCAATCCTACAACAATTTTCCACAGGGGACCATTACGTGGATCCGAAATATCTGGGGGTCATTTTGCGGCCCTTGGCGGTATAATGCTGCCAAGTCCCCTGATTGAAGCTGGGATGAAGCTTCAACCCGCCTTCAGGTAGATTGGCACCGTAGACAGTCACTTTGGCCTGCTCTTGGCCCAATTCATGATCTGAGAATGACCAATGGGGTCAGGGGTAGGAACCCAGAACGCGTAGTATGTTGCGTTTTCTTTGCCAATGTCCATGGTGATCGGACTGTGGCAATCATGGACGTGACAAATGTCAAGTTGGGGCATGTTTTCTCATGCATCTGCCAGAAATCTGACCACACTTTGCACGTGTTTGTATATAAGTAAGTGGTCATTGATGTTGAGGGGATAACTGCCGTACCTTTCAAATGATGTCAGCACGTGGGACTAAGTGATGACAGATGAGGTGAGAGATTCACTCACTTTAAGACAACACGAATCTTGTTGTCCGTGATGGTGGGAGACATCATCAGTTCGGTGACCGTGCCAGAGTCGTCTTGATAGACATTGAGCTTCTGGAAGGCGTGAGATGCGATCAATGGATCGTCGTGAACGCCACTCACTTGACTGAAAGTGCTGAAGCCTTCGATCGCGGCGTTGAGAAGATAAGGTCCGGCAGTCACCGCCGACGTTGTTGAAGGTAGAGTATGCAACCACGTCTTGTGTGAGCAGGAGGAAGTAGGCCTGACCTTCCTCTCCCTTGACGGCTTTGCAGCTCAGCTTTGTGTGTTCTTGTTCGTACTGTCTTTGTTGAGACGGAAGATGTTCAATCAACAGAGAGAGGAGAACAATTTCACAAATCTAAAGCATCGAGACGTATCACCAGACAAGTGTCGTCGTGGGACTCTGAGTCCATCTACAATACATCCATTTGGCGGTCCATAATACAACCGCGTTTTGCAACCATTTTATATTGACATCGATCACCCTCTGATCCTGTTTAACTCCTCATGGAACAGTTTCCATATCTTCTCCACAATTCCTTTCTCTCTCATATCTCTCAACGCCTTCATCACTTCTTCTCCTCCCTCTTGCCCTTCTTTTCCGATCGTATAGACTCTCCCTCCCTCCGTCGTAGCCCCCGCCGGTGTCGCATGACTCACTCCACCCTTACCATATCGCGCACTGGTCGCCAGGAATACATGCCTGAGACTGATGTCAGCATCCATCATCATCGTCTTTCCTCAACACCTCTCTCCCGTCTCTTCAGAGGATACAGCTATCCATCTTCCCAATGTGGCGTTGAAGCATCGCACGACGACACCCAACACCCCAGGCATCGAGTTACCGATAGGTGTGACGACGTAGCCCGGGTAGCTGTGAATGAAAGAGACGTCCGGTGCTTGCTTGGAGAGGGCCTCCATCGTCAGAGTGCTCAGAGAAGTTGCCCTCGCCCGCACGGCCAGCATGGAGGTGTGTCGGGCGGTTTGTAACATCATGATGTCTTCTTCATCAATCGGCCCCTCACAAGTGCCGGATAAGATGCTGACGACGCGAGAGATGGAGTTGGGACCCTGTCTGGCCGCCTCATTCAAGAGGGGAAGGAGGTTCTGAGTGAAAGACCAACGACTCCAATAAGCCAAAGTTGAAGCATATGGAAGGCCCTCTGATGTCACTGAAGATGCGTGAGTTTTAGAGGTAAGAATGAATGGTGGATGGTTCACATTTCGGGCTGAAGTCGAGTGTGCCGCAGGACAAAACCAGTAGATTGATTTGACTCTCTTTGTCTCGGATCTGTTCGGAGATGCCATCGAGATTCTTGATCAGACTGGCATCGGTTTGGATGAAGATGATCTCTGCTCTTCCTTCGTATCCTTTCGGCCCCAACGTACGACACTCTGCCTTGATTCGTTCCGCGGCCTCTTGTGATCTTCCAATGAGGTAGATGCGAGGTTGTATGGCGTGATTGGCTAATGCTTTCAACGTGGCCTCTCCGATCCCACTTGATAGTATCAGCAGATTTCTCGTAGCCTCAGTGTCACCTCGTACCACCGAGAAATACGGCTACGAGATGAGAAGGTGCATCTTGCAAGATGCGGTCGTTCGACTCCCTGACTTCTTGTAAACTGCACATCGTGTTTGTTTTCTCTTGTTTGTGTTGTTGTTTCCTCCATCTCGGGATTGGCACTGATCGGGTCCCGTTTTTCGGGGTGCGGTACCGACTGAATAAAATGTCAGTTGAAACATTTATTCTCTGGCTGATGCCAACACCTGCTGTTCTGAGATTCCACGTGTGAACGGGTGATGCGAAGAGGTCTGAGTGAATACTGGACATGCATTAGTCATCATATATATAGTCGACCAAGCTGAGCTCATTTCTCAGCAGCTGAGGATTGCTGACTGACGAGGAAGGTCGTTTCTTCTTTGGCCGCCGTGTCAATCATTGTCGTCATTTCAGTTCGCTGTCAGATTTTACCAATACTTTCTCACCGTGAAACTACACAGACAGGCAACATGAGAGGATCCCTCTTCTTCGTGTGCCTTCTCTTCGGTATGACTTCGAGACGATTGATATGAGAGAGTTCTGAACGCGAACAGGTCTGGCTGTTGCATTAGACAATGGTCTGGCCCGCACACCTCAGATGGGATTCAATAGCTGGAACTATTATTATTGTAACGTCAACGAGACTCACATGGCAAATGCAATGGACGACATTGGTGACACATAGACTCTTAATCTCAAAGTGCTGAACTGTCGCAGTCAATTTAGGTTTGGACAAATTGGGATACAATTACGTCGTCGTCGATGATTGCTG